AAGTAATTGAATCGAAGCAATTAAGAGCTAAGAGTTTGGAGTGCTGCGTCTCCTCCCCTAGAGAAGCAGGGCAGCATAGAAGAAATCTGACAACCGAGGGCACAGTCTTATTTCTCAGCTATGTGATCTTGGGCAAGTTATGTCACCTTTCTGAACCTCATTAAAATGTGGATAATCATCTTTGCTCTGACTAGATGATATGTCTGTTAAGGTTCAAATGAAGCAATCAGCATGAACATGTGATGAAAACAAAGCACCCAGATGGGAAGCCTATCAGTCCTCCCCATTGTGTGCCCTGCCACTGGAAGCAGGTATCTTGATATTGGTGATCACCCAAAAAAGTAGTGTTGAAAAATCCTTGTGCTAGTAGTACTCTGAGCACCTGTTTTCCGCCCCTGGCTCTGGTGTGTGGCCTTAAGCAAGACCCTTACCCCCTCAGTATGTTTCTCCATCTCTAATTGATTAGGTTATAGTCAGTGGTCTTTAACTAATGGACATCAGAATCACCTGAAGATGAGTGGCAGATGCAGGGAGTGGTAGTATTTCCTGTTTTGTAAGTCCCTTTTGCCCCCTCAAAAGACCCAAGTCAGAGGAATTTATGAATCATTCAAAGTACAGCTTATTTAGAATACACAAATTGACTTGTCAGCATGTGGTATGAAGCAGCAGCTTGTTCAAAGCAGTTTGGATGCCTCGTTATACTTTAATTAAAATACTGGGCAATTTCAAGCTGGCTACCTAGATCATGCCCCTTCTAGTTCCCTATGGTTTCCACTCATGTTGGTTTGCCATGACTGTGAACTTTCCTCCTGAATTACCCCTTCTTATGTAAACTGAAGATGTGAAACTATGGCCAGAAAAAGGTCAGTGGAGTTGCCCATGTTTTCATTACAATGTAGGCTGTGCTATAATTAACATCACAAAATAACAGAATATCAAAGCTGAAAAGATCCTTTGAGAGTACCTGGTTTAAAGGCAGAGAATTTGAGGCCTAGAGAGGGAGAGGGATTTGCTCAACATTAAGGGGAGGCAATGATAGCGCTGATTCTGGACCCTGAGGGCTCCTGAAAGGAGCTCTTCCCATGTCCTCATGTTGTCTTTCCACTGCTTCTACTGCTCAGAGATTTGAAAGCCAAGTACTTTTCAGTCTTCTTATTCCCCAGGCTGGTTTCACTATTCTTTGAGGTGGAGAAACTTTGTCATCAAAGCACATGTCAAAGGAATGCAAAAAAACAGGTAGCTATGGACTCAATCTTTGTACCCACTCCCAACATACCAGACCATTCTTATCCACCACTTTTGGTCTTTGTCTCACCAAAAGGAGTCCTTCCTCAAGCTGCTTTGCTGTCTCAAATACCTCATATCAGTGCTTCTCATACTTTAATGTGCATAGGAGTCTCTTGGGCATCTTGTGAAAGTACAGATTCTGATTCCAGATGCTGGAGTGGGTCCTGAGAATCTGCATTTCCAGTAGGCTCCCAGGTAATGCTTATGTCAAGGCTGATGATGAACCACATTTTGAGTAGCAAGACTTAAAGATGTTTATCATTCCTATTTCTAATAATCTTCTCCATTTACCTTTGGGATTTCTTTTCTTTACTACTGGGGGCTGTGAATTGTATTAAAAATGGAAATGGGAAGGCCTCTGTAGTTTCCAGTTAACCTAGCTGTATAATCTTGGACAAATTATTTCTCAGCTCCCTAAGCCTCAAGTTTCCTTATCTGTAAAATGGGCCTGTCATCTGTCACATAATGATGCTGTGAAGGCTGAGAGAACTGTGAGGCCATTGTTCAAAGTAAACTATAAATGGAGACTCCTAGGTGCAAAAGAACTCTTTACCTAGGTTTCCTTAGATTTGTAGAAGGCAACACAAGCAGTAGGTAGTGAGTGGTTCCATGTACCATCATGTCTCAAAGATATGCTCAAATATTGTTTCCATGACAAAACTGCAGATGGAGGCCACTTATATTAGACAGTCTACATACTTTATTGAAAGTCACATGAATGAGCCCCAGGATCTCATTTGTTTTATTATTTTGATATAGCATATGTCTTTCACACAGACACTCTTTCTAGCCCTCTACTAATGCCCTTGGCATCAAGTGCTTCATTTCCCCCAGGAAAATGAAGGCTTTTCTTTATTGAAAACTTATCTTTAAGGTATCTTGATTCTCTCTGAAATTTTTTATTATTTCTGACACTTTTTCTGGGCTTGTAATGTGTCAAGGCCACTTATCTGCAGCTACCTTAAAAGTAGTATAATTGATCTACGTTCTCTCAGAAGCAATTTTTTCCTAGTCACAGAACTATTTCTTCTTTTACTACTTTATTTGTTCTAGTTATTACAGAATCAAAGAACTTCTTGAAAAGAGAATACTTTCCCATGATAACCAATTACTTTAGAAATACTCTTCATGACACTATAATTGAAATTAGATGCTAAGTTTTGTCCCTCAGTGACTGAACACCCCCAACCTTTTAAAAAACAAAAACTTCAAAAATAAAAATTCAGTATTTCTTTTCGTAAGCCACCTCTTGATTTTGCCATCACCACGGAAAAATTTGTAGAGATTTGACCCCAATACATCAAGTACTGCAGAGGCACCAAGACCTTTTCTCCTTCTAAAACTGCATTTGTGGATGTCACCAGTCTCTTAGGCTGAAACTGAAACTGCCCATGCTACAACCTTGGCGAAGTACGGAGACACCTGTGAGGACCTTTTTACTTTTTGAAAAATGGCAAGGCAAGGACTTAACAATTACCAACTAAAACACAAATCCTTCACTTCACAAAATAAAATTAGATGATCATCTTACAAACATTACTAAATGTGTAAGCTCAATATGAAGAGAAAGCCTAACTCAGCAATATCTTCCAGCCCAGTTTGCATTTCCATATAAACTGAACCTGCATCCCCTCCCTCCTTCAAATGTTTGCCTTTCAATATTTCATAGGCAGGCAAGAGTCAAGAGTCATGCCAAGTCTAGCAATGTGGCCTCTGTTCAAACACCTACCACAGTGTGGCAAAGGGAAAACAGCATGGGCTAAAAGTGGCCTGGATTCAAATCACAGTTCTTTTATTTACTTTCTATGTATCCTTGAGCTGGTTGCTTTAGCCCCTGGGACATAATTTCTTTCTCTGTAAACTGAGAATAATACTTGCATGTATATGAAACACTGAGCACTTAATAAATATGTGCTTAATAAATGCTAGGTTCTTGGTTATCCCTGCCAGTTCATCAGTTTCAGTTCATCCATTGCCAGATTCTCTAACCTGCTGGCCAAGATATGTTGATAATTTCCTATAGTTGCCACTCTTCTATTATCACCCTCTTCCCATAGCCTCTGCAAAATGACTACCCATTCATCAAGCCTAGGCCAAACCAGTCTCATTCCATGATAGCATGCCTCAGCACAGGAGCTTTTTGCACTTTAAGTCAGAGTGCCAAAGAGAGGCGCTGAGATTCATTCTTTGACATTCTTAAGGTATAGACCAGAGCAAGGGCAGAGCTACTCAGCCACTGCTCCCTGGCCTCCAGGCAGACTGGTGGTCCTCAGCTCTCCACAATAGGCCCTTGATCTGTGTCCCAGGCAACACACAGCAATCTCATGACATTTCTGGGACATATTTTCTACTGGGATCACAGCAACTTTCTAGGGCTCTCAATAATCTTCCAATGTTTGCATTGGTGATTGTGGCATTTTCCCCCAAGAAAATCAGAGTCAAACCATGTCTCTTTAAAGGGACTGTGGCCCTATTAGCCATGCTTTCACGGCCAAAAGCTGCACACCTGTCTGCTTTATTCAGGATAGAGCAGGGAGGCCACAGCCCTGAAACCAGGGCTTAAAAATAAAACCACTTACTAGGTGAGGTCAGTAAGGCCTCACAGAGACTACTGTTGGGGGCAAGCAGCAGGGTAAATGATGGTGACTTGACTCTTTTACTCCTGGTTTCTTAGCAACCTGGCCTTTGAGACTGGGTACAGTGGAGAGGGTTCAATTGGGCCACCTGGATATGCCTTGATTTAGAATGGCTTCAAATTTCCACTCAATTACTTTCAAAAAGGCTCTCAGTGTACTTGGCCTTACATGTTCCTAACTCACCAATAAACCATGTTTGGAATTCAGTCTTGAAAATGACTACTGCCTTTCAGTAGCACTGTTCCAAATGCATTTCTGAGTGGGGTTTGCGCATAAGTGTGCATGCACTCACTCTCTATCTCTTTATCTAGGTTTCTCTGTCAGTACTATACTCAGTGCACTTAATAGGGCCTTGGTAGAAGAGTGCAAGTAGGAAAGCTCTTTCCCTCACACTGGGCAACATTATAATTATACAGACTCTACAGACAAGCTATGGCCCAGGCATCTGCACAGAAACAAGTACCGATGCTCTTTCCAGCAACTTCCCTTCAACAAACAGGAATCAGAAATGTCCATTCCTCAGATTTCTGCCCCATTACACCAATTTTTAGGTCCTTTCCAATAATAGAGATAGCAAATGAAAGGGACCTGGCAGGGGATTATGTCTTAACATTTTTCACTTGGTGACAAATACTCAAGAAACAGGGTAAAAGCCAACCCCCAGAAATGATGCCAGAAATGATGGCCATTAAAGCCACAAACCACAAGGTCCCTTGCTAGATAAGTGTGATACAATGGGAAAAAAAACTTGCATAGGAGCCCGGGACCTGAGATCTTGTCCTGGTGTGATCATTACCTTGCTCTGCCTCTGTTCCCCCAACTGGAAACTGGGCAGTTAGACTAAATGATTTTGAAAAGCCCTTCCAATCAAGGGCTTATATGGATTGCAAAAAGGGTATTTTACTCAAGTGCTGTGGTTCTTAACTTTTTTGGGTCACAAGCCCATTTGAAATTTAGCAGAACATTATGGATTATCTCCCCAGAAAGGGCATGTTGTCATGGAATTGTGCATACCATCTCCGGGGCTTCATGGAGTTTCTGAGTCCATGGACACTGGGTTAAGAACTGCTTTTTTCAGGAGATAAAATAGTTTATGTGCAGAAGGCAAACATGAAGCAACAGTGACAGCTGCCTGGCCTCAATCCATGTTAACAATTTTTCTAGCATTTGACCCCAAAATAGAACTCCTGCAGGACCAAACACAGTCTCCCTTTTTTTTTAAAGAAATGTGTTCAGCTTTTGTTTGTTTCTTGATTGCTTGGAAAGGAAGCTGTCAAAAAAAAAAAAAAAAAAAAAAAAAAAAAAAGGAGAAAGAATAATCCAAATAGACCTAGGCTTTGACATGCAAAACATGCTTTGCAGATTTGTCCTAAGTGGCTGCGTGTACGAGCAGGAAGGCCACCTTCCTAAGTCCACATGGAGGGGCTGTGGGGGCATCACTCATCCCACTCATGGCCCCGCAGGAGCAGGCAGGCTCTTGGCAACATACTGCAGCACCAGAGCACCGACATGGCACCAGTGTCCATATCCTCAGTAGGAGACATGTTGAGATTCTCCAATGTTCAGCAAACATTTCTATTTCCCTCCAACCAAGGTAAGCAATGGCCCCAACTCAAGTGGCCTTCAGTTCAAGGTAAGACCCCTGAGATCAGTCTTTACCCCCAAAACTCTCAGAGTTCAATGGCCCTCTGAGGAAGCAGGAAGTTCAGGGTAGAGTTGAAAACTGAGCTCCCCTCTTCGACTCAGGTAAGTGGATATCTTGGTTTTGGCAGAGTCTGGCTTGAGGGAGTCCAGCTCTTCACAGTGTTACAGGAACTCAAAACAGACCTTCTGAGGGGATGAAGACTGAATACAAAGGAGATATAAACAACTGTCTAGGACATATGCTCCTTATTTTATGGTCTCCCAGAGAGAGCCTGAAAGTGCAAGGCTAGGAAGGAGCTGCTCTTCAACACAAAATGACTCCGCACACAAAGGTTTGAAGAAGAAAGACTGTTTCAGAACCTGCAAAGGGTCCTCTGAGGCCAACGCTTTTAAAACCTGAAAGAGAAAGAAGAGAGTAGGGAATTAGTGAGGACTGGTCAAATACTTACCAGCCATTGATAAGTGGGGCTTCTCTTGGTAGGTAGGTAAGCCTATAATTGGTAACTCATCTTCTGAGCAACAGGGGATTGCTGGGCAAAGGCTCTTACAAGTCAGATCTCATGAAACAGGCCTAAGATGGTGCTATGACCAGGGTTGGACACTTTGTGCCTTTGACCTAGACTCAAATTCCCCAAAATCTACATGGAGAAATAGAAGCCTGATACTAGGACCTCTGAGATTACTTCCCACATCATGCCCACTGCCTTTATGGTCGTACAATAACTACAAACTTCCTTTTAACAGGGACTTCACCTCCACAGGGGCTGATAAGGAGAAGTTTATCTTCTCATGGACCTCTGAGGACTGGCAGTGACGGGGAAAAAAAGAAGGTTAGGGAGCACATGAAAAGCCAAGCTCCAGATACTTGGATCTCATTTATGTGTGTATCAGGTCACATCATGCCAGCAATCTGATAGTCAAACAATCAGAACTCCTACAGTAGAGAAAGGAATTTCCCTGACATCTGAGTCTCCTGTGACCTTTGCAAGTCACTTATCCCCTCTGAACTTCAGTTCCTTTATTTGTTGAGTTAGAACACATGTTATCCTCCCTTCTCCTGGCATGTGATATGCATCAAATGAAATAATGAATGTGAAAGTGCTTTGCATTGGACAAACATAAAGGACTAAGAATGAAGGTTCAGGTGGGTAAGACTGAAATAATGATTTGGTCTGTAGGAATGAATCCATCTACAGATACTAAGGTAGCCTCTTGGTATCTGTTATAATATCAAAAAGGAGGTTCCTGGTTTCCTTAAAGGCCTGAGAGGTGTCAAAGTTAGAAGGTTCCAACCTTCTCATTTTAGAAACTGGGAAACTGAGGCTCAGAGAAGGAAATGTATTTTCCCAAAATGTCACAGCCTAGGATTCTTAATAAATTTGATTCAAAGGCAATCTGTGAAAGCATGTCATAGTTTGGCTAGGAAAAAAAGAAACAAAAGAGGAAGGTTACTTAAAATCACACAAAACCTTGGAATTGAAAGTCACTAAATTTAAGGGTCATGCAGTGATAGGGTAATGAACTGAGGCATAGAAGTGAGTTCCCATCCTTCTGATCTACATGTTATTCCAGTCCTCAAAATATCAGATCCCGTAATGAAGGCTTATGTGGAACAAGGTTCTGTAATCAGGGATAGGGACTACATACCTGTAGCCTCAACTTTCATCTCCAGGAAGTCTGCCTTGAGAACTGTGGATAAAGAAAGACATTTCACTAAGATTCTAGAAATCAGGATTGGAAAGGTAAATTGGGGGAATGGAGGACCCTTCCAGGCCAGTGCTAAAGAGGCCATTTGAAAAATGGAGAAGTGATTCAGCCCAGATGTTTCAAAACATCTAGCTCCATGCTTATAGTTGGGGCTCCTTCTCTGGCAGGCTTAAAGAGCCCAGCATCCCAGACGTGAAGACATCTTTCAGGCACCAGAACAATTCTCTGAGTACCAGACTATGTGAAGCTTGGAGAACCCAGGGAAGCTGGCTGCAGACCACAAACTACATACTGTGATGATCTCTAACAGGGATAAGGGTGAGGACACAGACAAGTACCATGTGAAAGATGAATCCTCCTTTGCCTAGAAGACCAAACCAACCTTGTCCAGCCTCTTGATGTGCTTGGATTAGTTCTAAATTACCCTTGTCTGGGGACAGCTGGGGGACGAGAAAATCTTGGCAAATGAAACCCACTATAGTGTGGCCAGAGCATTGCGTGTAACAGTTGATCCCCAGGGCTATGTCTTCAACCCTCTGTTTTTCTCTTCTCTCCAGTCTGTTTACACTTACTCCCTGGAGGATCTTATTCCCATCCATGGTTTCAATTGCCACCAAACACTAGGGACCTCCCCGCAACAGGCTACTATTCACATTGTAGCGTATGTGAATAGCCCCCCCACCAAGACTTATATAATGGTTGTACTCACCCACTATATACCAAAATCTATGTATACGTACCCCAAATCTATGTATACGTACATCCCGCTCCAACTGCTAGCCTAAGTTGCAGTTACCCACTGAACATCTCTACCTAAGTCTCTAAGTGTCTTTTTAAAATTTGTACAAATTTAACAACTGTGTCTTCAAAATCACTGTGTCCAAAATTGAGCATGGCATCTTTCCCATAAAACCTGCTTCTCCATGATTAATTATTGTACCATCTACTTAAGTGCCCAAGTTAGACTTTTCTCTTTCTCAGTTCATCAATGTTCCATGTTTGAAAACGTAGCAAGGTCTTATTGAGTCTTTCTCAAATCTGTCCCTTCTATTCCATTCCCACTGGGAATGCCATAGGCCAGGGCTTCCCCGACTCTTGCCAGGACAATTAGTCTCCTTAACTGGTCTCCAGCCTTTACTCTCCCATCTATCTTTCCCACTACCAAAGTGATCTTTCTACAATTTGGTCAGCTCAGAATGTGACTGTCATGCTTGAAGTTCTTCCCCCCTTTCTATGACTCATCCACATATGGACTGCAGTATAAAGACCAAGCACCTTAGTATGTTATACAATGCCTTCACAATCTGGCTCCAATTCATCTTTCTGGTCTCACCCCCAGCTAAGCTTCCCTCTTTTCACTGCCACATTCTAGCCAAAGTGGAACGCTAATAACTTCTGAAACCATAAGCTGTTGGGCCTCTTTGAAATGTCCTTCCCTCCTTTATGTTCTTGATGAGCCATTACTCATTTTCTTCTTAGTTATTATGTTTAAATTGTGTAAGGGAAATGAATAAGGGGTTGATGTCATTCAAATGCTAGGCTGTAGTCAGGTATACAAATGGGGACCAAAAAGGGGCAAGACAAAGTTTAAAAAAATCATCATTTTCATTAGAGATGAGAGAAGAACTTAGCAACAATGACTACAGATGGGACTGACTGTGTGACTGGTCTGAGGATCTTGAATAGAGGCCAGCCTGTGGAAGCACTGATGCAAGTGGTGGTTACAAGGTGGAGGCCTAGATGGAAGGGATGCTTTCCCTATGTGGATGCTGAGTGGGAGGAGCCTGTGGGTACCCAGGATGTTAGCTCACGACATACTGGAGAGCAGGTGTACCTACTTTGGTCTTACCTACATTCCTGCCAAAATGGAATCTAGGAATAAAGAACAGGATTAAATCTAGGTTCTAGAAGACCAGACACAGGGTGAGTAGAGTGATACTCTAGCCTGAAGTGCCTGCTTTGGTCATAGCCCTTGTAGGCTGTGGTTGATCTAAGGCTTCCTTGAGCACTGGCTGACAAAGCCCAGCCCATTGGTAGTGGCTACTCATCTTTTCATACTCTCAATACCAGTTTGGCTATAGCTTCCCTCTTGTAAGTCTACCTGCCTTAAAAATTCTATTGGACTTTCTTCCTGCTTCTTACATATTTCCTTCTCAATGCCTTGGTTTCCTGTCCAAGCTTGCAGATCAATAACTCCCCCCACAACATTGTTTCTGTCTAGTTTTATTCTTTTTTCAAGCCCCAGCTCATATATCACCTCCTCTAAAAAGCTTTCCTATAGACATATTCAGTTCATTCCAGTTTACATCGTTCTATTTCCTTGTTATTTACTTCTCAAGTGGTTTATTCTAGGGAGGCATAGGCCACCTTATTAAGAATATTTGAGACTCTCTTATTCTCCCTTCTTCTTTTCTTTTCTTTTTTTCTTTTCTCAAGGGAGATATTTGGTTAAGCTTACTTTAAAAATTTCTGAGGCGAAAACTTTTATCTTCATGCTATCAGTAACAGAAATCTGGTGCCTTGATCTGACTGACTTTCATCTGCTACGGTAGAATGAATGGTAAATTATTGTCGAAGGAGAATTTGGCCCAGCCTGAGGTTCCAGGTGTCTCACTGACAAGCAGAGCTAGAATGAACTGCTGTGCAGAATCATGTCCTAGTGAGTCAGTCCCCATAGTCCCCTTTGACTAGAGGATGGCAAATCCACCCCAACTCCACTGCTGGGAAAGGTATATTGTTCTGCTTTTAACTGACCACCTAGAAGAGTTCTGCTCCTGTCACCTGTTAGGAAGAACAATTTCAAACTCTCTGATAACCAACAAGGATCAAACTCGCAAAAGTGTCCCTGAAGGCTAACCAAATATTTCTCCAGATGTTCTAGTCCAAAGGGTCCTAAATTCCAGGCCTTGGACAGTCTGCACCAGCACTTGAGAAGTTTTAATAACAAACTAATGGAAAAGAAGAAAGAGAGGGAGGGAAAAAACAAAATAAAACAAAAAGTCATATTCCCAGGCCTCACTACTAGAGATTCTGTTTTAGTGGGTCTAGAATGAAATCCAGGAATATGTGACCTTTTTCTCCACGTTTCCAGGTGACTTAGATGTGCAGCCAGTTTGAGAACCATTGCCTAAGTCCAGTGTTTACCCTTGAAATGGGGGCCCAAAGGCTGTTTATGTTAGAGTATAATATTCTACATATCCCTGTCAGCTGCCCTTTGAGTATATAATGGAATCTAAATAAGTAAACTAACAAAAAATAGAGCCACATTGGGTATAAAGTCTTTGAGATACTGCTTGGTGTGTATTCGCATGCACATGCACACGCAAGTGTGCACATATATATGTGCTTGTGAGACAGAAAAGAGAAAGAGGAGCACAGAGAGAGATGAAGAAATGGAGAGGCAAAGAGACAAGAGATACAAAGAGACACAGGAAGAGAAAAACAGAGACATATAGAGTGACATGAACAGAGAAACGGACAGATAAAGACAACTATGGGGGACACAGGCAGAGAAACACAGAGAAACAGAAAGAGATTGAGAATGACAGAGACACTGGCTGGGTGCAGTGGCTCACGCCTGTAATCCCAGCACTTTGGGAGGCTGAGGCGGATGGATCACCTGAGGTCAGGAGTTCGAGACCAGCCTGACCAACATGGCAAAACCCCGTCTCTACTGAAAATACAAAAATTAGCTGGGCATGATGGCGCGTACCTGTAGTCCCAGCTACTAGGGAGGCTGAGGTGGGAGGATCACTTGAACTCGGGAGGCAGAGGTTGCAGTGAGCCAAGATCGTGCCACTGCACTCCAGCCTGGGCAACAGAGTGAGACTCCATCTCAAAAAAAAAGAAAGAAAAGAAAAGAAAAGAAAAAGAAAAGGACAGAGACACCAAGTGAGAAAAAGAATATGAGAGAGACAAATAGACAACACAGGTGAACAGGTGAGAGACAGATAGGGATGGAGAGACAGAGTTGGGGGAGAGAAAGTGACAGACAGAGACAGATCTGTAGAGAAACAAAAAAAGAGAGAATGCTAGAGTGAGCACAATTGTATGCTAAGGATGCAGTTATTAAAAGGCGATTTGGTTTCTCTTTTGCCACCTCTATCTCTTACCTTCCTGTTTTCCGGGAAGCTGTTTCAAAAAACCTGGTCCTGGAAGCCACCCTGCAAACAGAAGCCAACCAAGTCCCATGAGTTGCTTTGGTATACATGTGAGAACCAGTGGCCAACAGAAAGGACAGGAGACTCTGAATCAGATGAGACACCAATGCCAGCCCCTGCCTTTGCTGGCAAAGGCCCTACGCATCCGAATGTGAAATGGCCCAGAGCCCATAGGCACCCCTAAGGCCATAGCTGACACTCTTTATCCCCATTGCTTCAGAATGCTCTGAGTATGTTGCCGAGTCAGGCTCTTCTTGGGGGAAATAAATGAAACCAGTCTTGATTTCAAAGTATAATTGTTGGCTTTTTGTAAATATACTGAGCTAATCAGTCAAAGCTGTGGAGGCTTTGTTCTTCTTTTTCTCCAATTTTACAATTATGGAAAACAAGAAACACAAGAAAAAGGAAGACCAGGAAGCAGTATACTGAGAGCAGTCCCAGTCAATAAAGAGAGGACAGGCAAGCGCGTTGTGGCCAAGCAAAGCTGGTCCCTGAGCACTGCTGTGGTCCTACCCTAGCTGCTCCTTCCCTGGTTCCTTGGCTTGCAGCCCAGCCTCAGGAAGGCCTGTTGGACATCAGCTCAGCTCCCACCCTGTAAGAGGCTCTCTGGGGAACCAAAGTCATTCTGAAAAAAAATTTTAAATCATACCCTTTGCTTAAAATAAAAGCCTCAAGCATAAGTACAATGAACGAATCTGTTCATTAAATTACTTTTAAAACCAGTAGAAATAACAAGAAAAATCTTTTTAAATGTCCTAAGCCAAGGAAGCTAAAATCAGAAGGTAATAATATCACCATACAGAGATAAAGGAAGTTTAAAAAAATGGGTCTCCTAGCAGGTACTAAGAATCAAAGGTTTCAACTTTAGAGAAATCCCTCAGCTTTGAGCATTGAGTGGGATACTCCCAACAGGGCTGGCCTATGATATTTCCCTAGACTATAAAGTGAAGGATGCCCCAGGGTTGTGCACTGTATACCCTTAATATGGTGATCCTGAAAGCATTCCTAGTGGCCTAGGACAGGCCTTCAGTCAAGTTTGAGGTACAACCTTACTTACACAGATGATGTGATTTCTCCTGCATTGCCAGCCACAATATCTGGCTTTGGTTCTGGCTTTTGGGGAGTAGCTGCCCGGCAGGGAGGATCTGGAGGCCTCACTGGGGGGCGGATGATGGTTGGCTTTTCTCCTGGAGGCCGCACTTTGCTGAAACTGTCGGCATCCCCTGGAAGAGAAAATGATACCAGGAACTTGGAAGGTTAGCCAAACAGAACACAACTCATGAACAGGCACCCAATACGAGAGTTACCTGGGCCAACTTCCTTGGCCTCCATTTCTTCTTGGTGACTAACAATTCTGGCTATTTTTTTTTTTTTGTAATTTTTCTGGCAACTATCCCTTCAGACTATATTTGAACCCCAGCTCTGGAGTTTCAGATATCTTGGGTGTGTCATATCAATTACCTAAGTCTCAGTTTCCCCAGCTATATAATAAAGATCCACAATATATTATCTTACAGAGATAGTGGGAGGATTAAATCAGGTACTAATACATTTAGTGCAGGGCCAGGTACATAATAGGTGCTTACTAAATGTCTTATGATGATGAATTTGAATTGTTTAAATTTATCATCACTGAAATCCAGGTCTTTTCACTTAGGCCTTGACTATTACAGTTGTCTTCTAACTCACCTTCCTGCCTCTGTGTCTTTAGTTTCCTTGTCAGTACAAAATAAATATAAATACCTTTTAAATAAGATGGTTATAATAGGACTACAGTGAAACAGGTAAACTCACACATTGCAGGTGGTAATGTGAACTGGGTTTATTTTATCTAGAGGGCATCAAGAATTCTGGAACAATGTGGATGAAATACAAAATCATACATATGAGACAGTTCATACTTGTTGATCCAGTAATTCTGCTTTTGGGAACAGGCCCAAATGGACTAATCCAAGAGGGGAACAACAACAACAACAAAAAAAAACCTTAAGAAAAAGCAATTGGCACAAAAGCATGCATCTTATCAGAAAAAAAATCAGACCTAACCACAAAGGCTAAACAAAAAATTCAATTCATACAAGCATTTAACCAATATATATTATGTGTGAACTGCCAAAAATTTAGACCAGGTCAAACCAAAAACAGGCATACAAAATAATATCAAGTGAAAAAAAGGTCCACGAAAAGTGCTCATGGCCTGATGAAGACCATACTGAAACAGACATGTACGCAACTATGCAAGGGTGTTAGTGGATCTTGATATTCATCCATTTTTTTCTACAACATTTACAGTAAATGTAAGAACATACTAAATTGAATCTACATAATACAACTACAAAATTTAATTTAAGTGTTTTTACACTGTTTTTCTGTTCTTTAAAGACTTTCCCAACAGCTCTAAAATGTAGAAGATAAAAGTATAAACTCCTTCATGGAAAATCAAGGCCCTCCTTGAGCTGGTCCCATATTATTGCCCCAAGCACTAACCCTGGACTTTAACTATCAGTTCTACTCTACTCAAACTGGTCTGCCTACTGCCCCATTAAGGCAAACCCTTGACCTTACTTCTAAGTGAGACAGAGTCTGGAATTTTGTAGACCTGGCTTTCAGACCTTGTTCTGCTGCTTCCAAGTTATGGGACCCTAGACAGGTACTTCACTTCTATGACGGTAAATTTCCTCATCTGGGAAATGAGTATAAAAACCCCTCCTCTTCATGTAGCCAACAGACACATGAAAAAATGCTCATCATCACTGGTCATCAGAGAAATGCAAATCAAAACCACAATGAGATACTACCTCACACCAGTTAGAATGGCAATCATTAAAAAGTTAGAAAACAACAGGTGCTGGAGAGGATGTGGAGAAATAGGAACACTTTTACACTGTTGGTGGGATTGTAAACTAGTTCAACCATTGTGGAAGACAATGTGGCGATTCCTCAAGGATATAGAACTAGTAATACCATTTGACCCAGCCATCCCCATTACTGGGTATATACCCAAAGGATTATAAATCATGCTACTATAAAGACACATGCACACATATGTTTATTGTGGCACTATTCACAATAGCCAAGACTTGGAACCAACCCAAATGTCCATCAATGATAGACTGGATTAAGAAAATGTGGCACGTATACACCATGGAATACTATGCAGCCATAAAAAAGGATGAGTTTGTGTCCTTTGTAGGGACATGGATGAAGCTGGAAACCATCATTCTGAGCAAACTATCACAAGGACATAAAACCAAACACCACATGTTCTCACTCATAGGTGGGAATTGAACAATGAGAACCCTTGGACACAGGGCAGGGAGCATCACACACCGGGGCCTGTTATGGGGTGGGAGGAGGGTAGAGGGATAGCATTAGGAGAAATACCTAATGTAAATGATGAGTCAATGGATGCAGCACACCAACATGGCACATGTATAAATATGTAACAAACCTGCATGTTGTACACATGTACCTTAGAACTTAAAGTATAATTTAAAAAAAAAAGAAGAAGAAGAAGAAAAAAAAAACTCTCCTCACAAGGTGATTTTAAGGACTCAATTAGATGACCTATAGACAATGTCTAGTATACAGCAGAGGTAAGTAAGTGTCAGACTCTGTCCTGCTTCTTGCCCTATATATGTCCCTATTCTTAGGTCTCCTGTGTATTATAACCATTCCTCAAGACCCAGCTAAAATTTCAACCCTCTGAACACCCTAGTAGGTATATGTAATTTACATCAATGTAAATGTTCATGAAGTTATTATATATTACCATGTATGTTTCTTTAAAAAATTCATCCATCTAGCCATTCTGGTGAGCAAGACATATATGTAAAGAAATAATGATAATACAGTGTGATTGGTATTCTAATTAAGGAAGAAACAAAACACTATTCATCTGCACTCATATGAATTGTCTCTCCATTTAGTCTGTATCTTACATTCTGGACATGTCATTCCCCTTAACACGAGGCTGGGTATACAGAATTGCAGCAGAAAAAAATAACCAAAATGATAATAATAATCCAATTTTTCTAATGTACTTTATACTATTCAAAGCACTCTCCCAGATGATAACTGCTTAATGTTTACAATAAGCTTGAGAGAGATGAATAAATAGGTCTTATTAACCCCATTTTACAGAGAAGGAAACTGCGGTTCAGAAAAGTAAACTGATTTGCCTACAACCATAGGTTAAATGGCAGAGTGAAGACTGAAACCCACACCTCTCATTAGTAATAAAAAATTATAAATTATAATAATAATAGTAATGGCAATACAATAGTACTGGCAAAATTTTTTTTAGCTAACCTTTATTGAACAGCTGTTCTGTTCCACATACTGTGATACTGTACTCAGTGGTTTATGCACATTTTCTCATTCAACATTGGCCATAATCTTGCAAGACAGAAAGTATTATCTCCGTTCTACAGTTGAGGAAACAGAGACTCAGAGATGAGAAGTAACTTCAGAGTTGGTCAGTCCATCTGATTTCTGAAACCTATGTAGTCCCAACTACCACTGTTCTTCAACCCTAGTGAAACATTAGAAACATGTAAGGAGCTTTAAAATTGTAAAGTACCTGGACCCCACACTCATACATCCTAGTTTTATTGATTAGGATAGACCCTGAGCATGGGTATTTTTAAAAGCTCCCCAAGTGATGCTATGTGCAGCCAAGATGGAGGACCACTAGGCCATATGATGTTGCTTCCTCACTGCACCCCACAGAGTAGCAGAGCTGAGAGTGCTGTCCCATTTCCACTGGTTACTGCTGGGAGGCAGAGTTCGTACGGGAAGTGGGGGGATTGTAAAGAAATGATATGCTGGACTGTCAGAGCTGGAAAACATGTCTATCTGAAACCATGCCCGTTCCAGGGCTATCAGTTTCCTTGATGAGTGAACCAGATGACATCCCTAAAATGTGAACTCTATTCATTCCCAAGTTATAGCCACATCCTAATGAACATGAACCTAGGGCCTTGGAAAACAAACATCATTAACCTCGTGTCCTCTTGGGCCCTTTATTGCTACCTCCAAATGATTATTCATTACAAGTCAAGTTTTGAGGTAGCAGCAAAGGATTTTCTTGGCTGAAGACCCCGATGCTGTTCTCTCTTGCCTCTAACGTGTCTCAGTCACAGTTAAGCCACAGTGTCAAACTGGTGAGGCAGAAAGGGGAGAGTCATGTAACTGGTAGTCAAGAAACCTGGATCCTATGCTTAATACTAAAACTAACTTTCTGTGTGACCTTCAGCAGATCATTTCCTTACCAGTATAACATGGGAACTGGACTGTTTTCCAGATGAATGAGCCAATGATCTAAGTCTATAAGCTTCTATCTCTCCCAGCTGACTTTTTACTTTTTTAAAATATACTTTAAGTTCTAGGGTACATGTGTACAACATGCAGGCTCATTACATAGGCTTATTACATGTGCCATGCTGGCCTGCTGCACCGACTTAAATGTTAGACCCAGCTGACTTTTATAGGCTGCTTTTGAAGTACTCTACATGTACTTACCCTGCTTTAAAACAACTAATCACTCTTTCTCTCTCTCTTTTTCTCTTTCTGAAACCTAAATTGAACGGTATTCAACATGGGGGTTTTGTGAGGGCTTTTGTGCCCAACCTTACACTCTCACACACACACACACAAAAGGCACACAAATGACCCCTGCCCTCTAGGAGCTCAAAACTGAGTTGGGGATATAAGTCATATTCATGGGAAATAAGTGTGAATACTATAAATCAGCATCCACATTAGAGGGCCAATCTTGGGTGCCAAAATATGTGAATCAAGGGAGAGCTAACTGGGGTAGGATTGTCAGAAGGCTTCATGGACAGAATGAGAATTGAGCTAGACCTTGAGGTTAGTTTGCCTCTTCCTAGGTGTTTGGCATGGTAGGGACAGGTTGTGGGTTGAAAATATGGCTCTGAACTCTTTTATGCCATCTACATTTTAGGCTTGAGGCTTCTCAAAGGGCCTTGAATACAGAAGAGTAGACACCCCATCTTCCATGCCTGCCATTTCCTGAGAGGTTGTTACCTAGTAATACTACCACTTCTTAAGCCTCTATTATTTTACCAGATTCTTTGTATAGCTAATCTAATTTAATCCATGCAAAATCCTTGCCTTCGATGGTGGTATTGTCCCCACTTACAGTTGAGAAAACTGGCTCAAAGAAGTAAAGCTGACCTAACTAAGATCAAGTAGCTAGTAATAGTCTCCTATGAAAGCAAAACAACTGCTATCATTTATTGAGTACTTTTGATATGCTAGGCATGTAGAGAACTCACTTTGTTGTTATAGTAATCCTATGGGCACAAATATTATCCTTATTATACAAATGAGAAAACTAAGGTTCAGAGAGGTTGTAACCTGCCTAAGGTCCCACAGCTAGGAAGAGGCAGAGCCAGGATTCAAACTCACATCTGGAAGATTCAGGAGCCTGAGCTTTCAACCACTAAGTCTCTTGAGCCTGTAGTCTTTCCACCAAGCTGTACTTCCTTTTAATTTCTTTTCAACCTTAGTCCAAAACCTGGCTTTTACTACAAACTTGATCTCCCTCTCAAGCCCAACCTGTTCCCTCTGTCTCTAATCTCTGTCAAATGAGCATAACCAAAGAATCTTAACATTTGCAGATTTATTGGGACCTGGTGGTCATCAGTATTCAACCTTAGCAACCTTTTTTTCACCTTTCCTTATACTCATCTATACCCAACCTGAAGGCACAGAGTAGGAAGAGGTTGTTTCCTCTTGTAGATTCCCCCAGTCTCCTAGAATTATCTCTTTTTTTCTATGACACTCCTCCATGCTCACCTTAAAGCCTTCCTTAGCCATTATTTATCCTTATAAAACAATTTGGAGTCAGGCTCCAAGAAAAGTAGAGAATAAAAACCAAACAGTAGATTATTAAAGCATAAGTCCAAACAAGAAAATGTGGATAATGGCCAGCAACACCCATTACTGCAAGAGCAAGTCTGTTCCTAATACTTTTAGAGCAGATGCAAATGCCACTCATAGCATTAGTCACCTCAGTGGAGAATTGATGGCTCTGTGACTGAGCAAGGCCTTACAAGCCCAAAAGCATGCCACCAGATGCAATCTTTCCTTTCCAGCCAAGACAGAGGAAAGGAGCTAAGAAGGGCCCCTCAACCCATGTCATAAAGTCCTAGTCCATGGTGTGCTCTTCCTTGTCATCTCAATACCTCAGGTAGAATGAAGGTCTCCTTGCTCCATGCTCCTACTAGAATTTCTTCTCACCCCTATTAGAACATGGATCACATTGGGCTGGGGCTGATTGCTTGCATGCCAGTGTCACCACGAACCTTTGGAAGGCAGAGACAATGGCTTTTCATCTTTGTCTCTCCCTTTGCAAAGGATTATGCCTGATTAAATAAACAAATACATGTAAAGTAGATGGGATATAGCCCTCCTCCCTCTTCATTACCCAAAGGGAAGTCCTAAATCCTTTTGTGGTAGCTACATGTCTGCCTTTTGCAAAGTCAGGACACTTAAGAGGCAATAAACTCAAATGAAGGCAGAAAAAAATATGCTTGTGTAATTTTGTACCCCCTAAAAGTAAGTGGTCCTTAGAAAAATAGAAAGGAGAAGGTAGCCAATGCAACTGAAGAAATATGGTATGAAGAAAAAGAGTCCCAATCTTGAACCCAAGAAGCTGAGGTCAAGCCCCATCTCTGCACCTTACAACCTAGGTAACTCTGAGCAAGTTGTTTTGTGTCTGTGAGCCTCTGTTTCTCCAACTATAAAAAGGGGAGGGTAAATCCTACCTCATAAGGCCTATCACAATGATTAGATGCAACTGAAGAGTGAAAGTATCAAGCTCATGTCTGGAACAGAAAAGGATCCTTGATAAAATTCCATCAGCAAACACTATTGATTCTTATTTAAAGTTGACTGTCATGGAAAAAAGCAATTTAACATGCACCATGCTTTTGTTACTTTTAATTGCTGAGAAAAAATGTGAAGAATGTTAAGGCCACTCAAATGTTAAGTCAAAGCAAGGGGTAAAGATGGGGGAGGACTGTGGCACAGTTGGCTCACTAACACAATGGAGCCTGTGTACTGATCCTCAGGATGGCAGGCAAAGTCCTAAACAACAGAGCTGAAATGGGGTGACAATTGCAAGGTGAAGACTGGGCTGGCTGAGGTAACAGCTGCCTCCCTCGAATCCCGCCATTCAGGCTACTGGCCAGTACCAGGAGCAAACAACTATCAGTTATAGCACAGGGTCAGAGCTGTGTGCAGCTTTTGCTTAACTGGTAACTCTTCAGATGCCGGGGGAATCTACTAGGAGAAGCAGCCAGAATCAGGAGGGGAGCAAGAAGGAAGTAAGAAGTAAATAGATAGTGTAGGTAAGGTTCAAAGAGGCAACTATACCAGAGGTTTGGGGGGTTCTCCACCCAGGCAAAAACCACCTCAGTTCTGCTTTCTGTAGCCAAAGCTGGAAGCATGGGTTTTTGAAAAAAGTTGCATCATGCCAGCCTGTTGCTAACTGATTGAAAGCAGAAAATGAAGCCAGGCAAAGCTGAGGCCCAGATTTAGATAGTTAGGCTGATACCGAACAAGTCAGATCAGTACTTATATTAACTGAGACCATTAGATCAGAGTAGCTGCCGCCAGCAGCCCAGGGTAAGACTGGAGGAAGGAGAAGAGGGGAATGCCACTGGGATTGAACTTTGCAGGAGGGAGGGAAGAAGGGCTGAGTTAGTTACTGTGTGCACTGAGCTGATAGAATCTGGCCAATCTCAAGGCTTGGCAACAGACAAGACAAATTTTACTGTGATGAGCATAAGTTGAGTTACCCAACCTTCTACCCAGATTGACAGGAAGGTCATGACATGACTTAAAAACGGAAGCAGAGGTCTACATTAAAGTTTTCCCTTTCTTGGCTATGTCCCAGAAGAGCCAAATCATAGTGAGAAGAGGGACAGGGGAGGGAAATTAGTATCATATTTTGAATGCTGATTATGAGCCAGATATTTTGTTATTCCTTTTAATCCTAGCAATAATAGTTCTATCAGGTGAACTGTCTTCCCATTTTACAGATCTGGAAACCAAGGTGAAAACAGCTTAAATAAATCAACTGTGATAGCATGAGTGATCACATCAGCATCAGTGGATCAAACCAGAGCATTCAGAGTCAACTACTTGTGAAAATTGTACTGGACTTGTAGAAATTATACTGAACCCCCTCCCATCCCCACATTGAATAGCTTTTACTAAATTGTGTTCTGAGACAATGCCGTTGGTTCATACTGAGGTTGTTATGTGAAATAATCCATGGAAGAAATTTTTTCCTGGCCTCAAAACCAGAAAAGTTATGGTTTACCTGAACAATTGGCTTGTTTTTACCTTAGGAACTTAGTTATATAACCATTGGTTTCTCTCTTTTTGTTTGTTCTAGAAAGTTTGGAACCAAATCTATGACACTGCTCCACCAAGTGTTTAAGGATTCATGGCAAATATTTTGTATACTAACTCCATTCCTGCCATTTCCTTGCTATTCTACCTTTCCCCAACCTCCCGATTCCCATTCTGGGCCTCATGTTTTCTTATCAGTACTCTAGAATCTAAGGTAAAGGCCAGCAAACTTTTTCTGTAAAGTGTCAGACAGTTAATATTTTAGGCTGTGCAGGCCATAAAGTCTTTGTTGCTACTATGCAATTCCGCTGTTGTGGCATGAAAGCAGCCATAGACAACATGTAAATGAAGGGGTGTATTTATGTCTATGGACAAAGTTTGAATTTCACAACATTTTCATGTCATAAAATATTATTTCCTTTTTAATTCTAAACATTAAAAATTGTAAAAAAATAATTCTTAGCTTACAGGCTATATAAAAAGAGGCAGTGCAGTGGGCCCAATCGGGTCCACAGGCCGTAGTGTGCCAAGCTCTCTCATCTAAACCTCAAGAGGACAGGGACTTCATTAAGTCTTATTCATTTCTTCAGCATGTAGAATGGGACCAGGTACATGGTCAGTACTCAATAAATATTTGTCAAATAAATTATTCTTAACAATTGTTTTAAGGTTTTACATTTTGCTATACTGTGAAATTCCTTAAAGCTACAAAGTAAAAGAGCTAAGACTTGGATCCAAGCCTTTCTGATACTCATATCCTTATTTTGTCCATTATATCTTACTATCTTCATAGAATTATGTCCCCTAAAACTCCCCTCTGGATTAGCCCCAATCTCTCAACATGAGTCTCAACATGTAACAGTTAATTAAATTTGCTGAAGACAGCCACACCTTGAATTTGCAATAATTTCAAAAGTTCAGAGCTTGGCAGAAGTTGTGCCCCTTTGTCCCTATTTCTCCCAAACTCGAAAGGGAGAATGAGAAAACAAGGGTTCACAGATTCACAGCTTCTCATAGGAAGGTAAAATGATTGTTCTGCCTCAGGGGAAAGAACGCTGACTTTGGTGCCTGTGAGACATGGTTAGATTTAGTTCCCAGCTCTGCCAGTTACTAGCTGTGAATCTTTGGCAAGTCACTTGCCTACGGCAGCCTCTATTTCCTAATTAAAAAACAAAAAAACAAAACAAAAAAAAAACAAGAATAATACATTCTTGGCCAGGTATGGTGGCTCATACCTGTAATCCCAGCACTTTGGGAGGCCAAGGCGGGTGGATCACCTGAGGTCGAGAGTTTGAGACCATCCTGGCTAACACGGCAAAACTCTGTATCTACTGAAAATACAAAAATTAGCCAGGCATGGTGGTGAGTGCCTGTAATTCCAGCTACTCAGGAGGCTGAGGCAGGGGAATCACTTGAACCTGGGAGGCGGACGCTGCAGTGAGCTGAGATCACGTCACTGCACTCCAGCCTGGGTGACAGAGCGAGACTCCGTTTCAAAAAAAAAAAAAAAAAGAATAATAATACATTCTTTACAGTGGGATTGTGAGGATGAGAAATAGTATATCAGCAATTAGTACAGTGCCAGGCACATAGCACTTGGGATATAGAGGTAAACAAAACAGGTAAAAAATTCCTGCCCTCATGGAGCTTACATTCTAGTGATTATTGTGACTGATTATTGTGATCTTGCCCACTGTTCCACTATTAGTGGTAGTAAACCGGAACAGAATGCCACTTAAATATATCTCCAAACTCAGAAGGATCTCAAGGTGAAAAGTAGTTAGGTTCAGCTCTGGCTCCCATGGGATTCCCAAGCACTTACCCTCCTTGTGATGGGCCAGGGGCCGGGGAGCTGGTCTCTTTATGTGGAAAGAGGGGGTCTTGGTGGGCCCAGAGCCTGGCATGGGTCCATTGGTGGCCTTTGGGGTAATCTTGGTCCCTCCATCCTGTAGCCTAGACACCAACTTCCCCACATCCACCTCTGGGCAGGGCTCCAACTTGCCATCCGAAATAGGCCTGCTTGGGGACTTCCTCCCAGGATCAGTTTCCCCACTCCTCTGAATAGGTAGTTTGGGGTGTTGTGGTGGCTTGGGGGTTTCTATGCTGCCAGTGATAGTACCATTCGGTGTTTGATGTTGGATTTCATCTGGGAAAAGTTGGTGCAAAGAGGAAAGATTAATGACAACTTTTAAAACCTTTTCATTTTGATACATGCATACATACTTAATTTTGAAAATTTGTGTACATTTTCAAAGCAGTTATGTCACTGTGGCACAAACCAACTATATCCCACAGAATCATTCTCTACCCTTCCCAGTTCATGTAAAGCCACAGATCCAATCCAAATAAGGAATTCAAGATCCGTGTATGATTTTCACCACCACAATTCAATAAGCCACAATAAACCAAGAGGTTTTATTAAAGGAATATGTCATTCAAAAAAGACTTAAAGTCCCCAATCAACAGTATATTCTATTCTTTGCAAATGAAGACATCATCAGTTAATTCTTAACCACTTCTCTGAAAAGTATTTTGTTAAGGTCTCTCAAATTTTAAGTTAATCAACATAACATACTTTAACTTCTTTCTCCAACTCAGAAGGAAACCTCCAACTGTTCTTTCCCCAGCTTTTGTGGTCTACAATTTCCTCTGACATTAGTACATGTTTTTCAGTGGTTCTGAGACTTACTGAAAGCTTTTGAGACCCTAATGAGACCTAGGGACCATCTCCCTAGAAAAATCAACCCACACAAATATAGCCAAAATTTTGAAAACTAATTTTTAAGTGATTCACAGAGCCTTCTGAAGCTGTCAATAAACCCCAGATTGAGAATGCCTGCTGTAAAGAAACTGTCACCTGCCATAGTCATAAAAAACTTTATGAGTGTAGTGGTTAAGAACAGAGGTTCCAGCCAGAAAATTGAAACCTCAGATATATATCAACCAATTGCAATACATGGATTTTATTTAGATACTGATTTTTTTTTTAACAAAATGAGATAATAGGAGAATGTGGATACTGACTGGATAGTTGATCCTAAGGAATCACTGTTTTGTTTTATTTTCTTTTAAGTATGATGATGATATTGTGGTTTTGCTTTTAAAAGAGTTCCTTTCTTTTAGAGATATATACTGAAACATTTACAAATGAAATGACATGATGAGTAGGTTGGGGGAACAGGTAAGGGTATAGATGAAATAAGACTGGGTATATGTTTTTAAATGCTGAAATGTGGGGAGTTCAATATGTTTGTTTTCAATTTCTGTTTATGTTTGGAATTCTTCATAATAAAATGTTAAAAGAAATGCAGGCTCTGAAGCCAGGTGGCCAGGTCTGAATCTCAGTTCTGCTTCTTACCAACTGTGAGACCCTGTACAAGTTCCCTATCTCTCTGTACCTCAAATTTTCTCCTCAGTAAAATGGGAATAATAAAGAATACTGGTCTCATGAGGTTGTGGTGAGGATTCCAGGAGATGGTATACTTATTTCAGTGCCTGGCACATAACAGACACTCATTAATTGGTGGTTATTACTTACACTATTATGTGGTGGGTGGGCAGTGAGGCAAGAGTTTCCATGGGGGAAGTCTTGCTGCAAAGGTTTTTGCTCCCTAGACAGTTTTGTTCTCCTTGGGAATCTGCCACCACTGATGCCACTGCCAAAGGGGCCAGAACCAAGGGGAGTTCCCCTGCAGTCCCCCTAATTTTGTCCCAAAGTAGACACATAGCCCTTTATTTATTAACCCTAGTATAAGTGCAGCCAGACAGAGGCCATCAAACAAAAAAAACTACCAAAGGCTCACAAATAATGGCATGAACATGAGCACAAGAGTGCCAAGTAACTAGAGCCTCTGGCTTCCAGGACGTGCCTTGCGGCAGAGGCCATCTTTAAACATATAGCACTCAGGAGTAACTCAAGCACATCTACTCTCTCCAAACAATAAAGTGCATGGTGACATAAATTATTTCCCTCACATGCTTTAGCCCAACATCTCAGCTGCATGTTCCTATCTGAATACTTTCTTCTGGCCAAGTGACTCCATCTTTGCTCTCCCTTAGGGAAGACAATAAAGGTTGCCTGTACCCTACAGGCCATAGAGTATCATCACCATCTCAAGAGGGTCAGTTTTCATAAAGAGGATCCACATACACAGCCTCAGAGAGGCTGCTACCTTCCACTCAGGAAAGTATCTTCTGCTTGCTAGGGAAAATAGGAAATGTAATGATAGAAGCCATGATGACTTCAGAGCTAGGCCTTTCAGCAGGGAAACTATTTCTAGGTTCTGGGGTATGGTGAATAAAAATAATGATAATAGTGACAATGATAGTAATAATGAGAATAATACTGATAAAGATAACATATACCATTACTTGAACACTTATACCATGGCAGGCCCTGTTCTAAATGCTTTACCTGGATTATCTCATATAATCCTCAAAGCAGCTCTATAAAGTAGTACATTGTTATTAGCCCCATTTTACAGATAAGAAATCTAAGGCACCCGAAGTCTCCATGTCACAAAGCTACTAAGTGGAAACGCCAAGTTTCAAATCTTGAAGTCTGTTTCCAGAGTCTATTTACTCTTTCTGAAGAGACAGTTCATTGCTCTGTCAGGTAATAAAAGTTCGGTGCCATCCCCTTTCCCTAACCAGCCATCCATTTCTACAGGAAAACACACAGACAAGCCTCAGGGACTATGAAGAACTGCGAGTGAATCAGGATCAGACAGTGAGGCCTCATAAATAGGCATGGGGCCAACCCTTACAGTGGAGGCCTCTCTTCTTTGGGTGGGTAAGAGGTGGGGAGAAGCTTTGAGAGGATACACACTAGTACTGTAATAGAAATAAATCAATTATTATAATACATTTAGGTTCATGCAAATAAGTGCTAGGAGTAAGACAGTACTAATACTGACTGCAAGGATTAGAGAGGGTCTTTATAAAAGAGGTAACTTTTGAGCTGGGCCTTGAAGAATTACAAAAGGTGAAGCAAAGTAGAAAGGGCATTCAAACAAAAAACAACTTGGAGGAATGAAAGACCATGCTTTGCCTAAGAAAATATAATGAAAAGTTTGGTTTGGCTTGAGCATAGGGACCAATTATAGATGAAAAAGTGTGGGTAGCTGGAGGTGAGGTTGTTGAAATAAGTTGGGTCTATATTATGAAGTCCATGAATGCCATGCTCAGGAATACAAACTCTGCCTTTGAGTCACAGAAGACAATGATTTTGGGGGGCAGAGGGCTGGGGGTGGGGAGAAGTGGCATTATCAAATATGCATTTTTAAACATCCCTTTGGGTTCATTATGAAAAGTAGGCTTGTTCCAACAAAAAATAGGTTGGACCAGAAAGACTGGTGGCAGAAAGACCAGCTAGGGGACTGCTGATGAGAAGGATCCAAACTAGAGCTGCATCAGAAAAGAGGCGGATTCAAGAGAGGTTAAAGAAGTGGAATAACCAGGGCTTAGTTATGGAGGTGTGATGGAGTCCATGAGAGGGTGAAAGGAGTCATGACATACTATATACAAAAGGGATAATAAATTTCAGAGTAAGATAATGAGATGCTACTGGTAAGTAGGATTGGTTCCTTCTCAGAACAGCGTTCACACAGGTTATAGGAAGTGTGATATTATAGTAAACAAATAAGCTTCAGGATAAGATAGATGAGTGCAAATTGTTCTGTCATTTAGTAGCTGTGTTAGTTGGGAAAACTACTCATCATCTTTGAGCTTCCAGTGCCTTCACTATAAAACAGAGTTCAGCATACCTACCTCTCATGGGAGTGTTGAACATTAAATGAGATGATGGATTCACACTCACAGAGAATGGCTAGAATAAATAAGACAGACTATACAAAGTATTGGCAAGGATGTGGTGAAATTGGAGCCTTCATTCATTGCTGGTGGGAAAGTAAAATGGTGCAGCTGTGGCCTGGTGTGGTGGCGCACGCCTGTAATCCCAGCACTTTGGGAGGCCAAGGTGGGCGGATCATGACGTCAGGAGTTTGAGACCAGTCTGGCCAAGACAGGTAGTGAAACCCTGTCTCTACTAAAAATATAAAAAATTAGCTGGGTGTGGTGGTGTGCGCCTGTAATCCCAGCTGCTTGGGAGGCTGAAGCAGGAGAATCACATGAACCTGGCAGGCGGAGGTTGCAGTGAGCTGAGATCACACCATTGCACTCCTGCCCAGGTGACAGTGCAAGACTTCATCTCAAGGAAAAAAAAAAAAAAAAAAAGGTACAACTGCTTTGGAAAACAGCTTGGCAATTCTTCAAAAGTTTTAATATAGACTGACCATATAATCTACAATTCCAGTCCTAGGTATATACCCAAGATAATTAAAAACAGACATCCACACAAAATCCTGTGCATTAATGTTCACAGTGGCATTATTTATAATAACCACAAAATGAATACAATCCATGTGTCCATCAACTGATCAATGGATAAATAAAATGTGCTACATATATACAAAGGAATATTTGTCCATAAGAAAGAAAGAATGAAGTACTGATACATTCTACAATGTGGATGAATCTTGAGAATATTATGCTAAGAGTAAGATGCCATCCAAAAATGTCCACATATTCTATAGTTACATTTCTATGAAATGTTCAGAATAGGCAAATCCGTAGAGGCAGAAAGTAGATCAGCAACTGTCAGAGGTTGGGGGAGAAGTAAATTTAAAAGTATTGGGTTTCTGGGATGATGAATATGTTCTAGAATAAGATAGTTGCACAAAATATACTAAAAACCATTAAAATGTATGCTTTAAAATGGTGGATTTTATGGTATGTGAATTATAGCTCAGTTTTTTAAAAAGTTAAAAATTAAAAATAAATGTCTAGACTGGATAACTTCGTTGGAGATCTTCTGGCCCAAAGCCCTCATCACCACAGAGGGACAAATTGAGGTCCAGAGAGGGGAAGTGACTAGCTCAAGTTATTCAGCAGGCTAGTAGCCAAGATTAAATTAGACCTTCTGTCTACTGACACCCAGTTCATTCATTTTTTGCACTCATTTATTAAGAACTTACTATATGCCTGGCACTGTGCTCATGCTTTAGATACAGTACGAAAAAACAAGTGTCCTCTGGCATATACACAAGTGTCCTAGAGTTTATATTGGAGGAGACTGTAAATAAACAAACCCATTCTGTAAAAATGAGACTATGGAACAACAGACAGGCATTGAATGTTCCCTTCTACTTTCTCCTGAATGCCAGCTCACCTCCTCTATGAAAGAGTTGATCCCTTAAGTGATAATCTCTTCATCATTCCTTATACATCCACTCATTCATTCTCAGAATATTTACTGAATACATGATACGTATACCAGGAGTTGTTCTAGGACCTGGTAATCAAATAGATTTTACATTCTAACGGGAAAGAGAGATAATAAACACATGAACAAACAGTAGCAGGGGATATGAGTTGCATAAAGCCATATAAAGGGATAGGGAGTGATTGGAGGAGGAGAAAGAAGTATTTAAGTAGAATGTTAAGAAAAGATCTCTATGAGAAGATGGCATTTAGCAGACATCTGAATGAAAGAGTGAGCCTTGTGAAGTTCTGGAGGAAGAATGTTTAGGGCCAAGAGAGTAGCAAATGCAAAGGCTCTTAGGTAAGTTTGACACAAGTAAGGACCTGCAAGAACAATGAGATTAGAGTAGAGAGCAAAAGAGACAGTGAGAGAGCAAAGTTCAGAAATGAAGGTCAGAGAAATCAGCAACAGTCATATAATGAAGAATAAAATGCAAATTTTATTCTAGATATGAAGGGAGGTTACTGAAAATTTGGCACAGAGGGAATGATGTGATCTGATTTCCATTTTTTTCATGGTTTCAGTGGACACTTTTATTGTTTATTTAATGGATCATCAATTTTGTCTCCCTACCTACAAATGGAATTTCATCTTGTTTCCATGCTGAGTAGTGAAACAGTGACAAAGCTAATCATAATAACCTACATCAAAAGAGAACTAAGCTAACACAGCTCACTTTTTTTAACAGGCAAAATATAAATATATGTACTCTAGAACGCATAATGTTTAGTCACTAAGAAATTCAAATGGGACCTTGAAGAATGTAGGCAAATCCAGGGTGCAGTAAAGACGAGCTGAGATGCTGTGCAACTGTTTAAGGGTTCCTGGGCACTGCATCTCTTGGCCACCAGCTGAACCTTGACACGGAAGGTTTTAGCTAATGCCAAGTGGAGATGCAGAAAATGCTAAGTTGACATAGGGGCTGTGCACAGGAACTAAAAGGCAGGAAAGTACTAAATATTGCCGAGAGCATCCACCCCAGGAAGGACTTTACCTTCCAGGAGCTCTAAACTGGCACCACCCCTAGTGCTCACATGCCTGATTTTATCCTTTGTGTTCCATTTGGCACAGCAAGTGGCAGTGTCTCCACCACCTATGATGCTAATGCAGCCCCTAGAAGTGGCTTTCACCACCTCATCCATGAGGGCTTTGGTTCCCCGGGCAAAAGCTTCCCATTCAAATACCCCCCCCGCCCAGTCTGCTTAGCCCGAGTAACAGTCTCAGCATACTTCTTGCTGCTTTCAGGACCACAATCCAAGCCCATCCAGCCAGCAGGTATGCCAGAAGCCACAGTGGCTTGGCCAGTCTTGGCATTCTCATCAAACTTGTCAGCAGTGACAAAGTCAACAGGCAAGGTAATCTTCACACCATTCTTCTCAGCTTGGGACATTAGGTCTTTGACAATCTTGGCTCCCTCTACATCAAACAGAGAAGTGCCAATCTCCATGTTGTTGAGCACCTTAAGGAAGGCAAAAGCCATTCCACCACCAATAATCATCTCATTGACTTTGTCCAGCATATTACTGATCAAGTGGATCCTGTCTGCAACATTAGCTCCACCCAGGATGGCCAGGAAGGGTCACTATGGGCTCTTCAAGACCTTGGCAAACTAGTTTTTTCATTATCAAAAAACCACCAGCCTTCTGAGGCAGATTGACTCCTACCATAGAGCTGTGGGCTCTGTGAGCAGTGCTAAAAGCATCATTGACATACACATCCCCTAGCTTGGAAAGTGAAGCTCGGAAAGCTTCTATTTTGGCTGACTCACTTTAACCTTGTTCCCAGAGTTTTCCCTTCCCTTCTTCTTCCACATGAAAGTGGAGGTTCTCCAGCAGGATGACAGACCCAGCAGCTGGGTTTGCACAGGCTTTCTCCACTTCTGGGCCTACACAGTACTTCAACAACAGAACATCCTTGCCCAGCAGAGATTTGAGTTCTACAGCAAGTGGCTCTAAGGAGTACTTGTCAGGCACAGGGACACCATCAGGCCAGCCTAGGTGGCTCGTAAGGACTACTGACTTGGCTCCATTGTCCAAGCAGAATTTGATGCTTAAGACAGCAGCCTTAATCCTCTGGTTGTTTGTTATCTGGTTGTTCTACATAGGAAATTGAAGTCGACTCTCATAATGACCCACTTCCCTTTCACGTCCAGCTTGTCCAGTGTCAGCTTGTTAGAAAGCAACATTTTGGAAATGGAGAGAGGTCCACGTTTCAGACAGCAAGGGAGCCGGCTGCTCATATGTGCTTGGGAAGCTTGCAGAATCCTGATTTCCATATTTTAAAGGATGTACATGTTACTGGTTGCCAGGGAGAATGAATTATAGGCAAGGAAGAAGGCAAGCAATGGTACCAGGTAAGAGATAATAGTGGCTCACAGTGACAGAAGCAGTGGGCAGTAGTAGAAGTTAGCATATAATGTGCATGTAGAGCTGACAAGAATTGCTAATGGATTCAATATGAAGGAAAAGGGGAAAGGAGTAACCGAGGATGATTCCAAAGTTCTTGACCTTAGCAACTGGATGACTGCTGCTGCCAGTTACTTAGATGGGGGAGACCAGAGTAGGAACAGGTTAAGAAAGAGTTGGGCATCAAGTTATGTTTTCCACAGTGTAAACTGAGATGCCCATGAGTCATCCAAGGAGAACTGTTGAGCAGGAATTTTGATATGACAAAAGAGGCAGGATATCAATCTTCGATAAATTTGGAAATCATCTTTAGCATTTAAATGATATGTAAAACCATGAAACTTAATGAGATCATACAGGAAAAGAACATGATCAGAGAACAGGACTAAGAAAAAAGCTCTGGGACCTTCTAACATGTAAAGTTGGGAAGAGAAGAAAAAACAGGAGAGAAGACTGAGATGGATTATCTGGTGAGATTAAAGGAAAATCTGGTGTCCTGAAAGCCAAGAGAATAAAGTGTTTCAAGAAGGAGGAGTTAGTCAACTGTGTCAGATGCTACTCACAAACTGAGTATGATGAGAACAATGTTGTAGCTATTTGGTTTGGCCTCATGGAGATTATTGGCAAACCTGACAAAAATGGTCTTAGTGGAGTAGGAGGGCAGAGGCACATTTAGAATGGGTGTATTCTCCACACTAGCAATTATTCCATTGAAGGCATTTATTTTTTCACTTATCTATGTCTCCATTTCTTCTGTGAGGGCAAGCAATGTATCTTAATTTCACCCAGCACAGTACCTGGCACATAGTAGTTATCCAATCCATGTTTGCTATATTTGAATTTAAAATTTCACATTCACCTTGCTTACCCATTTCAATATATTAGGGGCATAAATCTAAGAACACCTTGGATCCTGCACTGGCCTTATAGGGATCCTCCACATGGTAACTTCCTTTATAAGCTCATCACTATCCTATCTACTGTCAAAGGCTTAATCCCCTCTCTGAGCACAAACTACAAACACTGGCTGCTTTTAAGCTCAGGAGCCAGGAAAGATCTACTTTTATAGAGAGAAAAATGGTCATGCCACTACTTCTGCCCTTCGATATCCTCTCTGTCTCTAATCACCATTCAGAAGCTAAGGGTAAACCTCAGTACTGACCTTCGCTTTCATCCAGGGAAGAAGTATAGAAAACCGTCCTTTCTCGCAGCAAGCGCTTTGAAATCGTGATTGGTTTGTGCCTTCTTGCTGTCACCCGAGGCGGAGGCACTGGCGGTGCAGCGCTTTCCTCAGGTGGACCTAAATAGATCTGTGGAGAAAGAAGGAAGATATCTAGAGAATAACTGGATCAAGTTTTTGTCTTCTAAATGCTACCCACCAGTTGATGCTTGCTGGCCTTTTATCTAGAGTCTGTAACATGAATACTAATATGATTCAAAGAATCAGAGATTTTCTTAATCACTCTAGTAACCAGTAGGTGTTTAGCTATCTCCTACCGTGCTCAAGGCACAGAACCTGGCACTTCTCAGTTTGGAAGAAAAAATGCATATAAAAGGTGGCATTAGTCCTGGATTTTCCATTTCCTTCCTGGGAGACCTTAGGCGAGTCACCTCAATTCTCCGAGCCTCAGCTTTCTCATCCGTAACATAGGGACAGCAAAACCTACTTCACAGGGTGTGATAAGAGAGGAATGAAAGGAGCTGTCAAGGTACCTTCTATGGGTGGGGGTGGGACATGGAAGGAGACTAAACACAATTACATGCCCATATGCTTTCAATAGTTTTGAAGGGATACCAAAGAATCTGATTACATTGTTTGTCTCAAGGTAGGACTAATGACTGGCTGGGGAATAGAGGGAGAACAACTGTGTTTTCCCTTCTATGTCACATTGTTCTTTTATAATTTCATGCCATGGTACATTACCTATTCAATAGAAAGTAAAATAAAATTAAAAAGCACCAACACAGTGCTTTGGATGCTATAGGAAGTGCTGAAGGCATGCAGAAGGAGCTGTGATTAGAATTTTTATATAATGTCTCATGTGTACCTAAGGATTTTCCGGTCTCCATGGAGACCAACCTTTTAGCCCAAGTGTATACACTGTGAGATGAAACACATGTGATGGAGAAAGGCGACCACTGTCTAGCCAGTGAGACTAACAAAATCACCCCCAATGATTAGTGTAAAGAGAAATGTCATAGCCCAATATCCCATCAGGCAAGGGTCAACACAGACTACATAGGCATGGAAATAACATGATTGAGAACACAAGGCAAGCCTGTGTAAAAGCAGGACAATGTTAAGAAACAATGTATGAACAATTACAAGCCATGAGTATATGCCTCATGATTGTAAGGAAGACAAAATGTAACTGAACAGCAAGAAGATGAATGTTGAGGCCATACAGTTCTAGGTCATATTCCTAATTCCACCATCATTAGTAATAATAGTCTAAAGAGCTACCATTTTGTGAGCTCAAACACTATAGTAGTTGTTACAAATATTTCTTGCTATTTGTCAAATACATGAGGCTGTTGCACTGACTGTTTATTCTACCCAGACTGATCTTCCTCCAGATATCCATTCTTCTAGGATTCTAATCAAACATATTCTGCTCAGTAAGCCCTTCTGGGTCAATATATTTAAAACATTGACATGCCTCCCTCTACCCAACCATTCCTATCTTCCTTCCATGTTTAATTTTTTTTCTCTTCAGCATTTCCTATCACTTTCTAACATAGAACATGTTTTACTTACTGATTTTGTTTGCTGAGTCTCCAAGCTAGATTTTACACAACATAGAAGCATGTCTGTCATGTTCACTGCTCTATCTCTACCACCTAGAAGAGGGACTGGAATTGCTGAGTCAAAAAACAAATACATTTGCAATTCTAATGTAAAAGGCCAAACTGTCGTCTGAAAATACTACTACTATTAACCGCTACTAACTACTACTACTAAAATACTACTACAAACAGCTACTTCTTATTCCGGCCAAGATAGGGCACCGAAACTAGTTTTACTCATTTAGCCTGAAACAAGTAAAAACAAAACTAAACTAAACTAAAGTAGGAAAAATACATGCAACAGTAGTTTTAAAGGCATTGGAAATCCAGCAGTGAAGGACAGTGAATGCTGAGAGACAGAAAAAAACAAATGAGGTTAGCCCTATGAGTGTCCCAGCTTAGAGTTTTGCAGGACTCAGTGCAGGAAGGGGAACCCAGGTGGAACCCAGTAGTATCCCTACGTTGAGAAGATTGAGTTGGGAGTATGGGAAAGGCAAGGAAGTGAGAATTTGCAAGGCAAAGTGCCAGAGAGAAGATTTTGTACACTGAAGTATTCAAAATATTGCTGAGAAATATTAAGAAAATCTAGATAAACAGAGATATATTTTGTTTGCAGGTATAAAGACTCAATAGTGTTAAGATGTAAATTCTTACAAAATTGATCTACAGATTGAACACAACCCAAATACCAGTAAGCTTGTATGTAAACATTGACAAGCTGATTCAAAAATGTATAAGGACACGCAAGGAACCTAGAATAGTCAAAACAATCTTGAAAAAGAAAAACCAACTTGGAAGGCTAACATTACCTGACTTCAAGTCGTATTATAAAGCTACAGCAATTAAGACAGTGTGACACTGGTGTCAAGATAGGTGAGTAGATCAATGGAACATAATAGAAAGCCCAGAAATAGACCCACACCTATACAGATAAATTTATTTATTTATTTTACAAAGGCAATTCAGTGGAGAAAGGACAGCAATGGTACTGGAACAATGTGATATACATAGGCAAAAAAGGAACTTCACATCTCATACCACAGAAGAAAACTAACTCAGAATGGGCTATAATCAAATTTAAAAGCTGAAACTATAAAATTCCGAGGAGAAAAATCTTTGTAATCTTAGGTTAGGCAAAGATTTCTTAGATACAATGATTCATAAAAAAAAGAAATCAATAAACTGAACATCAAATTTAAAAACTTACGATTTTCTAAAAGATGCTGTTAAGAATGAAAAGAAAAACCACAGCCTGAGTTAAAATATTTGTATATCATATGTCTGATAAAGACCTTGTATTATACATATATATATATAAAATATAAAGAACTCCCAAAACTCAATAACTCAATAATAGGAAAACAAGTAAATCAGTTTTTAAAGAATAAGCAAAATATTTGAATAGACACTTTACCAAAGAAAACATACAAATGGCAAACATAAAAAAATGTTCAACATCATGAGGTCAATAGGGAAATGCATGTTAAAACCATGATGCGATACCACTGAACACCTATTAGAATGGTTGAAATTTTTTAAAGACTGACCATACCACATGTTGAAAAGAATATGGAGGAACTGGAACTTTCATTGCTGATGGGAATGTAAAATCAGACAATGTCGTAGTGAATTAAAAAAAAACAACCACCCAATGAAATAGATCATCTGAATAGTCCTATAACTATTAAAAATTTTTAATTCATAGTTTTAAAACTTCCAAAGAAGAAATCTCTAGACCCAGATAGTTTAACTGGAGGATTCCACCAAACATTTACAGAATTATGAACATGAGTTTTACAGTCTCTTCCAGAAAGTACGATGATACAATTACTTAAGAAAGACATTTTACATTTTCTTTAACAATTAAATGTATAATTACTATGTGACTCAGTCATTTCTACTCCTTCATGTTTACTCAAGAAAAAAGAAAACATAAGTCATACAGACTGTACACAAATGTTTGCAGCAGATCCAAACTGGAAACAACCCAAATGTCCATTAACTAGTGAATAGACAACTAAATTTTGGTATATATGATGGAATACTACTCAGTAATAAAAAGGAATGAACTATTGACTCATTATAACAACTTAAATTAATCTCAGAATAATTATGCTGAATCAAAGAAGGCAGACCAAAAAAAAAGTATATACTGCATTATTCCATTTATACAAAACTTTAGAAAACACAAATTATACTAACAGAACTGATTAGTGGCTGCCTTAGGTGAAGAGTATAGTGTAGGAGTGGGTTGGAGAGGGGAGGATTTTGAAGCGACAAGCCATTGAAAAGGACATACGAAGGAAAAGAAAATGAAATAGCTTGTGAACATAAAAATCAACTTCACTAATAATTATAAAACTACAATTCAAACAAGATATCACATTTTGCCTATTAGACTGATAAATTAAGAAAAATCGATATTGTCCTAAACTAACAAAGAAGTGGGTAAAAACAGTCACCTTTATAAGCTGTTATTGGGAGGGTGATTTGGTTTAGCCATATTGGGGGTCAATCTGGTAGTAGCAATCATGATTTTAAATAGGTATGCACTCTGATCTCCCTACGTTTAGAACCCCTATTGAGCAGAAATCCTGACACATACACTCACTGATATCTATGCAAGTGCTATGTACCATAAAAAAAAAAAAACTACATAAATACCTATTAACATGGGAAAGTTACATAAATTGTGGTTCACTCACTGAGGAATATTACACAACTGTTAAAAGGCAGTGATGTAGATTGTAAGAACTGAGGTGGAAAGATTAAATATTTTAAAGTAGTTTATGAAATAGTATATATAGTATGGTGTCATTATTCAAAAATAGCTTTGTGTGTTTATGAATGTACTGTCCTTTGTCATTTATAATTGCAAAGAAAAGGGTCTAGAAGCACACACATTAAATTGTTAACAATCACAATCATAACCTCTAGGAAAGTGAATAGGATTACAGAGGAATGTCAAAAGATACATTCCTGTTTTAGTCTACACACTTCTATGTTATTTAAATTTTTGTGCTGAATTTTAAGTTTAGTTTGATTTTTTAAAACATAATAAAAATGAAAACAAGGACATCCCTCTAAAATATTTTTTATTGTTGTTTAAGAAAGAACCTAAATTGTAGGGATCTAACATACATGAGTTCAAACCTCAGCTCTATCACTTATGGCCTCTGCCATGTTAGGTAAGTCATTTAACCTCTCTGAGCCTCAGTTGTCTAATTTGCCAAAAGAAGATCATGTCTATGAGTATAGTTGTCATGATCAACTGATAAATGTACATGAGTATTTGTCTAGCTGAAACCCCCCTTCTCTCTCTCTCTCACTCCAGTGCCCTTCCATTTGGTTTGGAACAGAACCTCTTAACTGGGGGCAATTCTATTTCCCAGGGGACATTTCATGACATCTGTGGAAATATTTATTGTCACAACTGTGGAAAGGGAGTTGGCATCTAGTGGGGAGAGGCAAGGAATCCTGCTAAACATCCAACAACACCCAGGGCAGTCCCCACAACAATTAT